CCGGGGAGGACATCCATCACAAAGTAATCTCGTGTGTGGGAAATTAACGTCTCCTACCCCAGCCCTGCAGGAGACACCTCCATTTATCGTCCCTATCCGAGTAGACTAGAAAGTCTAACCATTTGCAGATATTATTACAAAGGCAGCACTTTCTTCTCAGTTAATTAAAGACCCTGAGTGTTGGTCCGGCCTGATTTGAACTCACGACCTCCCGCACAACAGTCCGGCGCTCTACCAATTGAGCTAACCGGGAGGCGGTTGATAAACCGGAAGATAAACTTTTTAGGTACTTCGTCGCTCCTTATAGAGCCTGAGTATTCCGCTTACTACTTATTTTACCCCAATATTTGAGTAGCTGTTCATTTTCTGTAATTGGAAATTTTAAAGTAAACAATATCCATTTCGGCACAGATACTCAAAAATTAAAATACTCAAAATTAAAAGACCGTAGATTGTATCCTAAAGACCATAATGAAAGGAAATATTGTGTTTTTAAAGGGTTCAAAACTGAGTCGTTGAAGGGTAAAATGTTTATGGTGCTCTTGCTTTTTTATTCTTGGATCAAGTGATCTGAGAACTGTCAGTCTTGATTATTTCATATTTACTGTGGACTTTAACAGTGCGCACTGACTACAGACCAGCAGAAATATGAAACTATTGGTATGATCCCTGTCCTTCATTTTGCTGACATTGAGTCACTGTTGGAGTCAGCAGTGTACAATGGCAAACTGGTGGAGAAGTTTTGATACTCGAGGCTGGTCAACATGTGAAATGAATACATAACAGGGTTTTATCGCAATGAAGTCAATGGCAATGATGATAAGATTTACTTGCTGGAGGAGGTCAACTGTTACAAGGCTGCTGCACCAAACCACAGCACTCAAACCACCCGTATCGAAGCCGATTGGTGGCATCAGCTAGATTCGTGAGTGCTTAACTGAAGAGTTACGATAGTAACGTACACCCTAACTAAGGCCTAGCTCGCCATAGACTTTTTTTGGGTAGCTGAGTGGTAGAGCGTTGGAGCGCGAAATCCGAAGATCTGGGATTCAGTTCCTCATGGGCGGGACTCGGAATTTGTTCTTTGTCCCACCCTCGAGTCAACGCAAATAGCTTTTTTTTTTTATTTTAGATTTGAGCTCATACTTTACTTTCTTCCCCCTTCCTATTCTTCAAATATTAGCCATAAACTGGCTTTGTATAACCGTCGTCTTTCTCTCCTCTTTGAAGTTTCCATATATGGGCAGTATGTCCAGAAGGTCATTATCTACAAGGGTTGTATCGCACCTGGGTTGACTGGCTCTACAATAAAGAAGAGGGAAAATGCTGCAAACCAAAACACCTTCCCAATAAATACGGAAAATGTGCTATCAAAGACATGGATGCATCTTTCCACAAGTAAGGTCTGACTGGTTGCGACCATGGGTATTACATGGCTGGGTTTTACAAAGGAAGATGCGAAGAACTACACTGCATAGACAAAGTCAAATGCTGTCAAATGCTTGAACGTGAATTTTATTTCAGGACCGTTTTCTCCATAACATGTGAAGAGACGAGTGTCAACATTGAGTAGATCAAGAGCCATTTTTAATATTTTTTACTAGCAAAAGAATATTAGTAGTGAAAATCAAGCGGTTTTTGTCCACGGGCAATAAGAATCATACAACCTGAAAGATATAGAGGTTTTTACTTAAATAAAAACGCTTTTACTTTTCCATTTTCGCTACTGTGGAAACTCAGGTGAAAGAAAAATACAGCCATTTTTTTCAGCTTATTCTGTCGCGCCGGTGGGAAAAATCGGGATCCAAAGCTTTTTATCCTCCATGACGAAAATATGGACGACATACAAAAATAATAATAAAAAAAAGGACTAGAAAGAGAATAAAAAACGATGTGTCTTCTGCGTTATTGTGAACATTCATGGGAGATAGAAACCTCTATATCTAAGTTTTCATTTTGGAACGAACGTGAAAAGAGGTAAACCGTCATGAAAGTAGGCGCTGAGTGTAAAAAAACGAAAACAACTATTAGAACTTTAGGTATCTTCAAGCCCTTTTTTTTAAAAGGTATTAATAAAATGATGTAATCAAAGGCGAACGAGTGTTCACCAAGTATACATTGATCTTACTTTTTGACCGGTCTGAGCTTTTACTGATACGCACCCCTCGTTCTTTACAGTTAGAATTCAGTACACAAACAATCCTTGCAAAAATGGAGCGACATGTTTCAACCTTCAAGATAGTTATCACTGTGAGTGTAAACAGGGATTTTCTGGAGTTAACTGCGAAAAGGGTAAGTGGACAAATGTGTAAATATTTTTAGCGCCACGAATCATGTAGATCCGTTATAGAAGTATTTAGTTTCACGGTGCATTTTTACTGACTGGAATCACTACTTGGATTTTGGCCGAGTTTTTTTTCGCTTTTTAACGGCCCGAAACGAAATCGAGGTGTTTTAGAACTCAGAAAAAGAA